TGGGCATAGTATTTCTTCAACTAAGCCAAGATACTGCGATTCAGTGTAATAAGTTTTAATGTAGAATTTAGAACTGGATTATTTATGTTCCAAAAATCAAAGATGAATTCTGGTTGGCACAATATGTATTCCTTGTGGAGGATTCAGGATTCTTTGTGATTTAAAGTAGCTTGAGTGTTTAACATTTGACAAAGCAGTGTTGTACTTACAGGTAGTCCTGAGAAGCTAGAGAATTATGTATACTGTACATATCTTAGTTCATGGGTTTGATTGTGTGCTGTAGGAAAGATTGACAGCTTAGCCAGTGATGGGGTTCATAAAAATAAATGAAAGTATTCCATTTGTGGTTTACCGTTGTGAGTTTTGTCCTTGTAGTATCACTCTGATAGATGCTAAAATAGAAATTTCCTGCTCAGTAGGGAGTTAAGCCTGGATGACAGTGATCTGAAGGAAACTACTGCCAAGCAATTGATTGTTCAAATTTGTCTGGAAATTAACATTAAAATCCGTGTTATGCATTCCTTGTGTTTTTAACTATACCCAAATGTGCAGTATCCACAAGGAACATTCTTATTAAATTAAAGAAAAGAACAGGTACGTGAGTATAAGCCGGATTTATCCTCCAATTTAAAAGCATTATATGAGTTTACAGTTAACAAAAGTACAGTTTAGGAATATTTTATTACTTTAAAATTCCCCACTCATTAGTATTCTACTAATTTAAAACTGTATTTTAAAAACTTATGGGTTAGATTTGTTTACAAGAAGAGCAGTAGCGTAATAGGCAACATTCATTGAAGGCCCATTAAGTGACAGGCATTGCACTAGGTTTTACATATATCATCTCATTTAATGCTACAATAACCCTGTTGACGTTTTCTCCCATTTTATAGATTAGGCAACTAAGACTTGGGAAGGTCAACATAGCTCTTAAGAAGCAGAGCTATGATTTGAGCCTAAATGAAAGAAAAAATGAGTAAATTGAGAAAACTGTACAGAAAAAAAATATTTAAAAGTGGAAGCAAGAAATTGGGGAAACAAGCAAATTAGGTATATTTTTATAACAGTGACAATGAAAAAAACCAAAGAAGTTGCATTAGGTATTTATTAGTTTATCCTGAGATTATAGTCTCAATTCTTTTCTGTCTGCCCTTCAATACGGTAACAGTAGAGCATATGCCTGTTTCTATTATTCAAGGAAAATATACAGATATTTGAACTTTTCTTTTGTGTAACTCAGACATCTAAAAAGTTAATTGAATACAGACCCTGCATCCAAGGTCGTATTGTTAAATAGAGGAAATTTTAAAATAAATGAAATAAAATGCATAATAATAATTTTTTAGAGTAGTACAAATCAAGCATTTTGGCAGTTCAGAGGAGCAGCAGCCAGGAATGTCAGTGAAGGTGCCATTTAGTCTGAGTCTTATAGCGTGGGTAGAATTTGAACTTGAGCAAAGTGGCACAGACGAAGAATATTGAGAAATATGTGTGGAGAAGTGTAAGTTTGATTTCGTAGAGTATCTGAAGAAGCATGATTGGTAGAAAGAAAACAGCTCAGACCACAGGAAGGATTCTGAGTGTCAAGCTTAGGAGTCAGCTTTTGTATTTTAGACATATTGGGGAGGGAGACAAGCCATGTTAAAGATATACGTAAGTTATTTTATAATGTAATGTAAACTAGTTTACTGCTGTAAAGCATGGTAAGGGGCTAGAGCAATGCAGAGTGCTAATGGACATAGATTGGTCAAGGATAGCCCTTCTGAGGAGTTGATGTTTCAGCAGAAACCTAAATGAGATGAGGGAAAGAATCATGTGAAAATCCAGGAGTTAGAGCTTTCCAGACAGAGCAAAGAGCAAGAGCAGAAATACTAATAAGATTGTGTGTTTGAGAAATAGTCGATCGGGCTCTGTGGGTAGAACCATGTGTCAGGAAAGATGGAAAGGAACGTGGTTCAAGAGGTAGCTAGCAGTTAGGATGGCTTTCCCAAGAGTCAATGAATTTCTGTATACTCATCTGTGTTCAGTTATTATCTAGATTTCACTATATTTGCTTTATTCATTTATAATAACAGTTTTGAGAATCACCTTCCTACTGAGGCCATGAGATTGCCAAGATAGATAGAATAAAGAAAGAAGGCTACAGACAGTAACATAATCATATTTCAAATCTGTCTTGATTGTGGTCTGAGAAAAGTGTACTTAAGGTACCTGTGGTGACAAAGTTACAAAGAATAGCTGTGCTGGCAAATACTAGTGTTGTTGGAACTACTTCAACATTTGTTCTGTTAGTCTTGAGCTGAAATCAATGTACTATAATTTTACATTTGATTTTCACAACAGCTGTATTATATATAGGTGAGGTTAAAAGCCTCATTTTACAAATGAGGAAACACAGTTACAGAAGTAAAGTGAGATACAAAGGATAAAAAGAGAGCTGGACCTGAAGTCCGTGTCTCTAATATGTTGGTTAGCTCTGCAATTTCACGAAGTAGGCTTATTCACCTAACACTTTTGAGCCATGTTGAATTACCACTTTGTAATAAAAACAACCATTTTTCAAAGGTCATATTTTTACTAATACAGAAGGAAATTCCAAAAACTATTTGAATTATGAGTTTAATAGAATTACTTTCTTTTTTTGTAGGCAAAAATCTGAGTAATTTCATCTGACACAGAAGGCATTTGTGCTTTTTGGTATTGGAACAAAATATGATCTCTCTTGAGATGCATAATTAGTCCACTAAGCACTGTAGCCTTCATTGTCTGAAGCCTTAATTAAAACAGAGTTGAATTAGCTTTAGGTCTTTCTTTTCTTCTTTCACTTTCTTTACTTTCTTCACTGCTTTGCCTAGAATTGACTGAACTTAAGAATTGGATCCTTTAAATAGGAAGAAAATATAACTACTTGATAACAGAACAGAATACCTACTTAACATATGTAGTTAATGACCTGAGCATTGGAAATATTTCACAGTACTTTTTATTGCATTTTTAAATAACTTTTAAAAAATAGTAGATTTAAGAAATAGCTAGAAAAACTTTAATTATTGTACCACTTTGTTTTTGTTTGCTCAATGGTAAACTGGATTAAAGAGCCATGTTAAATGTGTTTTAGAAGATGTGATGCCTATGTAGTTTCACAAATCTAAGGCTGAGGCAAGTTCTTCTAGATCCTATCTAGAAAGTTTGTACATTGTTTCTAAGCATTTTGGAAATTACGTTTTACTACGAATAATATAATGAATATCAATAAACTTATTTTTAGTATGCCTTTCTTTTGCATTATTAAGATAGTGTTTTAGTCTTTGGCTGACTCTTATTTTCCATATGGTATTAGCCTATAAATGCTGAATTGTCAAATGTGAAGCCCTTTATGTTAGTGTCCGAGTATATTTTCAGGATCTGAAAAACATAAGTAGCATGAGAAAAAAAGTACATTAACTTGTAAATTTTAGCCCTACGTGGTGGGCTGCTACAGAAAGGGCTATAAACTAGGAATTGAATTGTTGGGAGGAGAGTTTCTGTGTACTCTCAGGGTAAAGATGAAGTTAGTGGATATTTGTCCACTATCCAAATTGGCCAGTGTGAAGAAAGGAGGGGGAAAGTATGGTATGAGAAGCAGCTAGAGATGCAGATAGAGGTCAGACTGTAAGCAGTTTGATGAGCCATGTTATCGCGATTGTAGTGCTGAGAAAGTTTGCTCGAGTGCTATTTGGTCCACCAAAGGAATGGGGGGGGTGGCTATTCTCCCCCAGTCAGTTGAAATGGCTTACATTTATGACATAAATGTCATAAATGAATTGTCATCAATGAAGTGAATAAATAATACATAATAATAATACATAAATAATAATATACTTTCTTTTGTGAAGTGTTCTGTTAAGTTTTGGCCGTTTTTCATTTGTGTTTTCTTACTGTTGGATTGCGAGAGTTATTTATGTATCTTTACTATCAGTCATTTGTCACATAGATATTGTAACTGATTTTCTCCTAGTCTGTGGTTCACCTTTTCATTTTTTTGGTGGTATCTTTTGAAAAGAGGTTTTTAATTTTAATGAGGTCCAGATTATCCGTGTTTTCCTTTTCTTGTTTTTGCTATTTGTGTCTAAGAAATTTTGCTTACCCCAAGGTCATGACTCAGTACCATTTCTCCCCGAGATAACCACTCTTCTGCCTGTATCATCAACACTTACTGGTTTTCTTTTTGAATTGGATCATATAGTATGTATCTTTGGTTCTGGTTTCATTTGCTGAGCATTATGTCAGTGAAGTTTTTTCCATGTTTTTTTGTAGCAGTAGTTTGTGTTTTATTGCTGTGTGATAGTTCATTGTATGACTCTACCAGTTTGTTTGGCAGACATTTGGATTGTTTCCAGGTTTTGGCCATTATAGGTAAAGCTGCTATGAATATTCTTATACTTGCCTTTTAATGGACATGTGTATTTATATTTCTTGAGTATATTTCCTAGGAGTGGAATTGCTGGATTATAGGATAGGTGTATGTTTAATAGTACTGCCAAGTAGTTTTCCAAAGTGATTTTTACCTACTTTTACTTGTACCAGCAATGTATGAGTCTAGTTGCTCTATACATATTGGCTACTACTTGGTTTTGTCAATCTTTATAGTTTTGGCCATTCTAATGGGCGTATATTGGTATCTTACTTGTGGTTTTAATCTGCATGACGAGTTGAGCTGAATGACTTTGTAGCTCCTTCCCAATACTAAGGTTTCCTGTGTGTTTTAAAAAGTGCAGCCAGGCACAGTAGCTGATGCTTGTAATCCCAGCACTTTGGGAGGCTAAGGCAGGCGGATCACCAGAGGTCGAGAGTTAAGACCAGCCTGACCAATATGGTGAAATTCTGTGTCTGCTAAAAATACAAAAATTAGCCGGGCTGTGGTAGCGTGTGCATGTAAATCCAGCTACTCAGGAGGCTGAGGCAGGAGAATCGTTTGAACTTGGGAGGCAGAGATTGCATCACTGCACTCCAGCCTGGGCAACAGAGGGAGACCCTGTCTCCAAAAACAAAAAAAGGAAAAGGTTGTAGCTCAAGGTGCAGCATGTAAACACAGGTCCTTAAACAATAGTAGGTGTTATGGGTTTTTGTATAAATACAACAGATATTTGTACAGCTAATTTTGCTGTATGAACCTTCCTCTCTTGTCTAAAGCATGCTGATAGCACTGGTTCTTACCTGGCTAAGGTAAGAACATTACATTCACCTGATGAGATTTTAAAACTAATTTAAAAGCATATTGGCCATTCATATAGGTCCTGGCTTGTAGATGTGTATTCATAGCAGCTTTACTTATAATAAGACCCCAAAACTAGAAAAAGTCCATCACTGGGTTAATGAATAAACAAATTGTGGTATATACACTACAATGAAATATTCCTCAGCAGTACAAAAGGAATGAATTACTGATGCATGTAACAACTCTTGATTAATTTCAAAAGATCATTAAAATCATAATCTCTGTGGAGAGGCAAAAAGCTCCCCTGGTAGTTCTAAGATGGAGAGAGTTGTTAATCATTGGCATGTACAAATGAAATATTCTATTGCTTCTTAAGAGGCCTTGCTGTACCCCTTAAGAATGAAGCACCAACTATAAAATCTTTATTAGACATGTGTCATGTTAATTTATCACCAAATTTGACCCATTGAAAGGATTCAAGAAGCTAGTTCCCACCGTTCGCTTTTTTGGTTGTACAGTATACTAACTCTCCAGGTAAGTTCTGTGTTCATATTTTTAATTTTGCGTTACTCTTCATGTTACAAGGCTAATTCTGCTTTTAAAGTACATTCTACATATGACTCAAGAAAATCTCCTATTAGAAATGTACTTTTTCTGTTAGCAAAAGCAGTAGTTATTACATAAGAGTATTTGCTCAGCCTTGATTTTCTCCTTTAATATGATTGTGGATTTACAATGTACTTGAACTTAACAAGGAACAACACCAAAAAAGGCACATGATTTGATTGTTGCTTTATAAAATAAAAAAATGAATGTGTTCAGCTTTTTGTTTATGAATGTAATAGTGAATCCAGCCTCCTTTTGGTATGTAGGTTTGGTTCATGAAGATGCTTTTAGATCATCTCCAAACAAGTAACATCATAATTGGAATGTGGCATTCGTATATATTGGATTTTTAAAGATTGTTTCCAAAGATTCAACTGTATATAGTGGGTACCTAATACTTATTTTCTAACTTGGAAGTAATTCAGTGGTGGCTAAAGCTGGACTTGTACTGCTGGCAAAAGCTGATAGGTAAATTTTCAAGAATTTGTAAGCCAGCTGTTAAGCATAGCCATTATTTTAAAAATTCTATAAACTTATGATTAAATACATATATTAAAAATAAAAGTAATACATCCTGAAAATTTACTAGTTCCCAAATAATATTAATATCTTTTACTGTCATCTATGCTCTTAAGATTGTTTCTGTGGTGTATCCATGGTAGAAATACTATATGACAGTGTGCTGCTGCATATCTTGTGCTACTGCATATCTCTTTCTACTCTATGACGCTGTGCTGTTGCATATCTCTTTCTACTATATGATGATGTGCTACTGCGTATCTCTTTGATGGTGTGCTGCTGCATCTCTTTCTACTATACAAGATGTGCTACGGCGTATCTCTTTCTACTATATGATGGCGTGCTGCTGTATATCTCTTTCTACTATATGGCGCTGTGCTATTGCATATCTCTTTCTACTCTATGATGGTGTACTGCTGCATATCTCTTTCTACTGTATGATAGTGTGCTATTGCATATCTTCTTCTGCCTCTGGATTCAGTGAGCCCATGTTGGATGCTTGAAATTGGCCACAGTGGGGTATTGGCACCATGAAAATGGATAAACGCTACACACTAAGGTTGAGGCTTTCTTTCTAGTTTGGAAAACTGGTTGTTAAACATTTACCAGCATACCACTGGAGACATCATTCTTTATTCAATGAATTCCTACTGTGTGCTGGCTACCCTTCATAAATGCTTTAAATAAATCTTTATTTAATTTACTCAAGTATTATCGGAGATGTGTTTCTTAATTGTATAGATGAGAAAAATAAGATTAAGTAACAAAGATCACAAAGCAGCTGTTATATTGTATAGCTGGGATTGTAACCCAAGTCTCTCATATTTCAAAGCACTTCTCATTATACTGTGTGGTCTCTCTGAGGCTTTGGAATACATTTTATAGGAGAGATCATTTGAGTTAAGGGCAGGATCTTATTAGATATTGAAGTTGGAAGAATATTTAAAGCATTTTGAAGAATTTCAAATGTTCACAGATATCAAAGTATATTTTGTGTTCCAAAAATGGTAAGTAGTAGATTCAGTAGTAGAGAATATCTAGAAGAGTAAAGTTAAAAGAAGTAAAGCCCAAAAAGCTGACTGGACTTTGTTGTGAAGGACCTTAAACAGCATGAACCTGAGAACAAAAGCAATTCTGTTTTTATTCCTAAAGGACATAATTATTTCTGAAAGCCTTTTGTGTAATTATTTTGGTTGTCTAATTTGAATTTAAATTCAGTTTCCATTTAAAGCATGATTGAGGTATCATGGATGTTTTTTGTCCAGGGATATAACATGGAGCTTTTGGTTTGGGCCCTTATTCTGCCTATTTGTGTGTTGGCTGTTAATTTTCAGTACTGTAATTAATGGTTAGTAACGGATGTTCCCCAAAATGGGGTCATTCTTTGTAGGGAAGAAAATGAATGGATAATAGTTGCAATGTTTGCATATCTTTGCCAAATGAGTATTCTTATTACCTACCTTATGGCATAAAGTGGTATCGGTTTATCATTGTATATCTCATTTTTAGAACATCTGTGTTTTATTTAAAGTCATAATGACAGAACAATACATAGTTCCATTGCTATAATTTTCTCTGCTGTTTCTGCATCATGAACCATTTACTCCCCTTACCCCAGAATCTATTTTGCAGTATCTTCTGCCTTTTGTTGTTGTTGTTGTTTTGAGATGAGGTCATGCTCTGTCAGCCAGGCTGGAGTGCAGTGGCACGATCATGGCTCACAGCAACCTTGACCTCCCTGGCTTAAGCAATCCTTCCACCTCAGCCTCTGGAGTAGGTGGGACCACAGGCACATGCCACCAAGCCAGGCTAATTTTTTAAAAATTAAAAAAAAGCAAAAACAAAAAACAAAACCAGACAGGGTCTCCCTGTGTTGCCCAGTCCTGGGCTCAAGCCGTTCTCCCACTTGGTCTCCCAAAGTGCTGGGATTATAGGCGTGAGCTGCCACGCCTGGCCTTCTCTACCTTTTAATGTTCCATGGGATTCTTCTCTTGAGTTCTTTTGCCATTCTTAACAGTTAATGCATCCACATCCCTACAGTGATAATTTCCAGGTTTATGTCTTCAGCCTGGAGCTCTAGGCTTGCATTTTGAAATTCCCAATGAACTGGTGGACTTGGATACTCCACAAACATTCTCAAAGTCAGAATGTCTACAGCTAGACTCAGTCTCTGACATTTCCAAGCCAAATTAACCTCTTGCTTTACTTACTTTGGTGAGTGACATGTTTATCTTTCCAGTTGACCAAGCCATAAATTGGGGGATGGTAAGAAGAGGTAGGTCATTCTAGATTCCTTCTCCTTTTTAATCTCTCACAATCTAGCGACTTTGTAAGTCATTTCTGCCTCCTTAATATCTCTTGAATCCACCTGTTTTCATTCCCACAATTTTAATTTCAGTTGTTATGATTTATTGCCTAGATTATAAAATAGTCTTTCAGATAGCTTTTCTGTCATCAGTCTGTGCTGCTTTTCTTCAGTCTAGCCTCCCACTAGGCTGTTTAAAATATATTCAGCCCCTTCTATCCACGAGTTTCTAATCCATGGAGTCAGCCAACCTTGGATTGAAAATATTTGAGGATGAAAAACAATAAAAAATAATATAAAAAATAATACAGTGTAACATTTATGTAGCATTTACATTGTATTAAGTATTACAATCTAGTGATGATTTAAAGTGTACAGGAGATATGCATAGGTTATATCCAAATACTATATCATTTTATATAAGGGCCCTGAGCATCTGTAGAATTTGGTATCCATGGGAGTGGGGGTGGGGACTAGTGGGTCCTGGAACCAGTCCCCCATGAATACCAAGGGATGACTGGAAATTGATCAGACTCTCCTTACTTTCTTATCCCTTTCAGTTTTTTGTTTGTTTTTATACTTCTCTCCTCTGCATTTTTCCTCTCCTCTGCATTTTTCCTCTCCTCCTCTTTTTCTGCCTTTTCATTTATTATTTGATAATTTGAATATTTTTATGTTATTTGAATATTTTAAATTTGAATTCCATTTTTACTTTTCTGATTACTTTTTAGCTGTACTTTGCATTATACTTTTAGTGGTTGCCATAAGGATTACGGTATATATCCTAAAATTTCGTAGTCTACTTACAAGTGATAATACATTGCTTCACTTGAAATATAGAAATCTTACAACCTTTTAGGTCCAGATTTCCTTTACCTTTCCCCCTTTCTTTGATAATAATTGTTATATATATTACATCTTGATACATATTAAGCCCCAGAAGATAATCATATAAAATTTGCTTCTAGCAGTTATGTGGATTATATAGAAATTGAGAGGAAAAGGCAAAAGGAAAAAAATAGGGTTTTTTTTCTTATATTTACCGGGTTATTTACCATTTCACTTCCTCCTCCTCCCTTTCTGAAAATCCATGTTTCTCTCTGATTTCATTTCCCTTCAGCCTGAAGAACTTCCTTTAGTATTTCTTGTAATGCAAGTCAAGTGATAAATTCTTTTGGTGTTGTCCAAAAATATGTATTTCTCCTTTATTTGATACAGAATTCTGGGTGGACTGTTTTCTTTCTTTTCTTTCCCTTTTCCTTCCTCCCTTCCTTCCTTCCTTCCTTCCCTCCCTCCCTCCCTTTCTTTCTCTCTCTCTTTCTTTTTCTTTTCTTGATTTTACTCCATCACCCAGGCTAGACTGCGGTGACATGATCATAGCTCACTGCAGCCTCGACCTCCCTAGGCTCAGGTGATCCTCCCACCTTAGTATCCAACATCCCAAATAGCTGAGACCACAGGTGTGTATCACCATGCCTAATGTTTTTTGTATTTTTCATAGAGATGGGGTTTTGTCATATTGCCCAGGCTGGTCTTGAACTCCTGAGTTCAAGCAATCCACCCATCTCAGCCTGCAAAAGTGCTGGGATTATAGATATGAGCCACCACTCCTAGTCAATTTCCTTCCTTCATTACTTTAAAAATGTTTCAGCTCGGTGCAGTGGTTCATGACGTAATCTCAACACTTTGGAAGGCTGAGGTGGGGGAATCATTTGCATCCAGGAGTGAGACCGGCCTGGGCAACATAATGACACCCTTTTCCCTACAAAAAAAATAAAAACAAAAATAGACGGGCATGTGGCATGCTGAAGGTGAGAGGATTGCCTGAGCCTGAGAGGTCAAGGCTGCAGCAAGTCACAATCACCTTATTGCCGTTCTAGCCAAGGGCAACAGACTGAGACCCTGTCTCAAAAAATAAGTAAACTAAGATAAACTAAGGTAAAGGTAGAGGTAAAAGAGTTAAGTAAAAGTAAGATAAAAAGGTTTCTGTTTCTTCTGGCTTTTGTAAATATAATGAGAAATCAGCCATTAATTGGATTATTGTTCCCTGGTGGTCATACTTGTTTTTCTCTTGCTGTTTTCAAGGTTAGCTTGAAATCCTTTA